CCCAAATATAAAAAACATAAAATTATTTTTATTGAAAAAGAAACATCGTAAAAAGAACTTTGCTCAGTAGTCAAACTATGGGTCAATATCATAGTGGTTTCACTTTCAATATAATCTCCTATAAATTTAAAGGAATATACCTCATTCATTACAATTCTGATTTTAAAGTTTATTGGGTTAGAAAAATCATATGATTTTTCTAACCCAATAAACTTTAAAATCATGATTTGAAGATACAACAATATGAAAGATAACAGTAGTTAGATAACAATCGAACTCAAATTTTAACTTCAAATGCATTCATTCGACACCAAAAAAATTCTTATCCACTAAAACATTAAGTCTCGACCAAATAGTGTGTCTCACATTGTGTCATTTTATAGATTCAGGATTAAGCTCCAAGTTGTGTACAAAACTTTTTAATCTAACTTAATTGTTTTCCCGATGGAGCTAGGTTTATTGGTACGTTTACATAAGCTACTCCCGTATCACTTGAACTTTTTGTTTTGTTTTTCCACAGGCCACTAAACTTTAGAAAACTATTATTATAATTAAATATAAAATAGTTTAATTATCATTTTAATTCCTTAATCATGTGTATTAAATGTGTTATACGTGAAACATCAACCAAACAAAAACTAAAGAGTTACAAGTTGATTTCAATTTTTTATGAAATCATTTATCAATATCAACCAAGTGGGAATAACAACTTACATGTATAAATTTTTTTGTGAAATTTCATGGTTTTATTAAATTTTTAAGATTCAGTTTAGATACAAAAGATTATTGTGAAGAGAACTCTATGAAGCATAATCGTTACTTATTCAATAAAATTGAATTCCTCTTTGTTTCTCAACATCAAAGTATGTAAACACTTCTTACTCTATTAGTTTAGTACTTAAGATGTTAATGTTCATTTATTAGTGATTGACCAACTTTGAGGGTAAATTTTATTCTCTTAAATAAGAGCCACATTGGTGTTACCTAATCTTGATATTCCTGAACTAATTGGATTTCACTCTAGATAACACGACAATAAGAATCTTTCTTATTATATTGAAATGTTAAAATGCATCTTAAATTATTTTATTCTGATTATTTTTATGATGAAAAAAAAAAAAGAGTTCAAACTACTATGGTTGCTTGAGAAAAGATTATATCAATAAAGAGCACAAATGCAATTGTTTTTGCAATTGAATTGATGTGGATGCTCTTAAAAATCACGAAAGAACAATACCTCCTCTCCCTCATATCATATTAAATGAAGGAATAAAATATTTACGGAACGAAGTTGAAGTTTCATATCAAGTTTAATGAGTACAACATCATAAATTCTATAACTCAATTAACATTTTCAAACATAATCTATGATATCCAACAACACTTGTGACCGGAATGAGGTGAATTCTTTTGTCATGAAAATGATATTTCATATGTGGTTACGTTTTGTCTTTTAATTTACTTCTCAAAACATGTACTAAAAGAAGCGGATGTTGACAATGAACATAGTATAGTTGATGATGGAGATTCTTGACGGTAAGTAAGTGATACCAGTTATCTTGGAATACCTTTAATACTGTCATTAAATTTATTATGAGTTTATATTCCCTTGCATGAGTCTTATTGTTTTAATTTCAATCGGAACCTACAAAGACACTGATTACAATATAGTAATATGTACGATGGATGCTCATTTTAATTTTTTGTGCAATTAATAGTTTGACTTTCCTAATGGTAAAAACTAAGAAACTACCTTGAAACCGTGGTCGATTACTGTTATTGCATTGCAACCGGACAACGAGCCGGGTTACAATCTAGTTATAGATTTATATCAGTTACTTGAACCCGTACCATTGCTTTTTGGTTTCCCATCGTAGAAGAAGTTGAACAAAAGGACTCCATTATCTGTCCCGCCGGCGACGTTGGAGGAAGCAAAGTGTCACTCGGTGAGTTCCCAATCCTCATAAACCGGAATTCAAGTCTTGGTATTATAATTGGTCTTCGGTCTCCGATCACTGAGGACCGCGGCCCGCGGATGTTGCCCGACGGCGCCATCTGCTTTGCCGGCCCATATATCACGTATTGTTAATATCGAGACAAACATTATTGTTCTTTGTCTTCTTCTTTTCGGTTGAAAATACGATCAAACATTAGTTAATTTATTTATACCAAATTGCAGCAAGGAACTGAACTAGTGCTTAACAAACAATTTATTGAATTTTTTTTAATGTCTCACATCGATGAACTGAATTAAAATTGTCCCACATGATTAGAAATTTATCAGTAATGTGATTAAGAATATTGAAATGTGGAACAGTAATGCAATTAATGTTGTCCCACAATTATCAGAGACTATTAACAAATTAGTCCAACCCAAACACCTGGAATTTTAAAAATTGGAAAATGATTCTAAATTTCCTTTTAATATAAGCCCACTATAGAGAGATGGTGGTGGTAAGGTCATGACACCTCTTATGTCATGGAGAAATTTGTATTAAAGTCCTATCTCTTTGGTGCGACAATCTCTAATTCTCTTTGGTCGTATGCAAGAAAAGATAGAATCTATTTAGTTATGTGATTAGATCTCTTTTAGATCTATAATTCAAATTTCTCTATAGAGCTTAGGGATATTTATATAGTTATGTACCTGTGGATTTATATTGATAGTTGAGGTTGGTTCATATTAAATTTGAATCTTCATTCGCCATTTATTATTATCCATATGTCCTTCTGAAATAATTAATTAATCAATATGATTCACAATTGGGAGAGCCGATGAGCTGACTAAAGGATAATGGGATTTTAGTTATATTTCATTTTTTTTAATTTGAGTTTCAAATTGTCCAATTTTTTAATTAATAAAATTATAAAATGACATCCATTTTGATATATTTTTAAAAAGAAATAGTAATTGATGCGTTTTTCACCTCAGTATACCTTTTGGTGGTAGAGCTCGGTGGTACACAAAATTATGTCATGGTAGTATGCAAATGTACATGATGGTAGAATATACTAACCAGCATCTATCAATATGGTGAAGTGTAGTATAATTGATCCCATGAAATTTCTCATGAAATTAATTTTGTAGATCACCGTAATTCATTCTTAATGTACAAATCTTTTCAAAATTCGAGTTAAAACGGAGGAGGTAAAGGGTTGTAGAGCGTATTAGTGGGTAGTTCAGAATTTTTCAAAAATATATAAAAAATTAGCAAAGATCGTTCTATGTTGCCATGCATGAAGCAGGTGTTGTTGTGTTGGGGAATCAAAGTTGTGTTAGTTTTGTGAAGCAATATTCCAAGTAAAATGATGACCATCTAGTCTCATGGTTACCGTCCATGTCACGATATTATTATCATCCAATCTCATTAGAGGTGGCAAATGGATTGGATTGGTGGATTGGTGGATTGGATTGGTGGATCCATGGATCAAATGGATTGGATCTAATGGATTGGTGGATTCATGGATTGGATCAAGTGGATTGGTGGATTATCCATGAATCCAAATGACATTCTCAACCAAGGACCAATATGTAAAATATAAAAAGTTTAGGTACTAAAATGTCACAATGAAAAATTTTAGGTACCAAAACATAATTTTCCAATGATATTTTTCGTATAAAAAATTAAATTTTAGGTACCAAAATGTAAAAAATAAAAATTATAGGTACTAAACCGTAATTTGCCAATGATCCATGGATCCAATCCATGAATCCACCAATCAACTCCTTAGATGCCACTCTGTTATCCAGCAACATATAAAAGGAGATGGCTCTGATTTCAAGTGGGAAGGTTCAACTATGAGCAGATCTTCTATTAAAAAGTGTGGAATGCAATTAGGCCAAAGTACTATGAGAAGGTTAACTGATCTCCTGCTCTTATGTACAAGTTGATCTTCAATGAAGCATGTTGTCGTGTTGCCAGTGATCCTGATCTTCAGAGTTATTTTGGCTCACAGAATTTAGATGGATAGATAATGTAGTTTTCTTTTTTATGTTCCCCTTTTGATGGATGTAGAGTGTTGTTAGAGGCAATTGGGATTTTCAGTATTGCTAGGGCTTACTGCAAAGTTTGATTAAACCCAAAAAAAAAAGTTACAATCATCCTTCATAAGTGACCATGTATATAAGCTCTCAATGAACATGAAACCGACAGATAACGAATTCTTCAAATTCCGCGTTTGTCTTTCTAAAACTCTTAACTGAAATGTTTGCTAGGTCTAGTGGCGGAACCACGTTGCAATTTAGGTAAATTTATATGCAAAATTTGTAACAAAATTGAAAAATAGATGAGTTGGTAAGGCTTTAACTTGCCTTTTACAATGAACATGATTCAAATCTCTCAAACATAAATTATTTAATCCCTACATTCAAATTTCTACCTTCATAACTGTTTAGATCTTAGTTCTTCCTCAATCCTCAAATTTATTTTTCAAATACACACTTTTTCCAACAGTTTGTGCAACCCACAAAAGTGCATTCCTATATCCCCATAGTCAGAAAATTTGCGTCATAGTCCAAAGATGAGACTTCCAAATGGATTAGTTACCCCGTTGAAGTATTCAATTCCTCATTTCTTACCCCCAACTTCCAAATGCGTCTGCAAGACCTCAAAAGAAGTTCCCTCGTTGGTTCCCAACTTTCATCCTAATTCACAGCGCAAGAGTTGATCAAAGACACTGCCGAATGTTTTCTTCTTTCTTCCCATCTTTGGTGTTGAAAATCCACGCACCTCATTACTTATTCCTTTGAACAATTCTGCATGCCAATGACGAACAAACTAACAAATTCCTCTTCATTTTCTTAGTCAAACAATTCAAACTTGTGCCCACCAACCCAGCCCGTATAAATTCCCCCCTCTCACCCCACAAAGTCACCAAACTCTGTAATCCATCAACTAACCCACCTAAAAAACCTCCTCTGCTTTTCTTCCCAGAAACAGAGCACTTCCTTCCTTCTCTGCAATCCACTACCACAAAAGGAAAATCCGGCGGAAACCCAGATGGCATCTCTGTCCAAATCGCTCCGATTCACAATCTTCTTCGCGCTGGCGCTCTCCGTCCTGTTCGCCGCCGCGGAAGCCGGCCGGCCGTTCAACATCATGAAGTCGGAGACGGCGCAGGCAGCTGGGTGCGCGATTGACCGATTCTTCGACGGTTTGGTACTGGGCGGAATGAAGAACTCCGGTCCCAGCCCGGGAGTGGGTCACAGCTTCACCACGGGCACCCACCAGTGATGTGATCCTGACTCGGTCAACTCGTTCGATGTTGCCGAGTCGTCGAGTTGAATTCCGGCCGGATCTAGGTTTTGTTTGTTTCCATTCTTTTCTGGGGCGTTCCGCATTCGGCTGATGCTGTGGACGGCGCCGTATAGTTGCGAAAGGATGACAGATCATATACGTGATACACACCGAATTATTTTTATTTTTCTTTCCCAATATTGTAGAGAACAAGACAACAAGTCACAGGGCATGAATGGCATGCTAATGCTATACTTTTTTTATTGTTATTTTTTTCATTTTTGTTTTCCTTCAAGGGGACATTTGTTTATTGGTTTAGGTTAGATACTTGAGAAAGAAGATCTATATTGTTGTTTCATTCCGCCGGTGACGTGAGACGACGAATTACATGATACGAGTTGTTTATTTTATATTGAATGGGTTGGAAAATGAGTCAAGCAGGACTCAGCAATCGGTTTGGAAAAAAAAACCCTCCTTTGGTACTTGGATAGTTGGATTATTACTCAATGAGTTGGCTCGTTAGATGGTTTGTTTACTATGAGTCGAGCACGAGCCAGATTATGTTTTAAGTGGATGACTCGTTGAGTCCGACTTACAAGTTAGTTTCAATTGAAGCTCATAAGCCAATTAAATGATGGGGCTCAATAGTAAGCTCGATAGCATAGCTATTAGCTAGCGAGCCATCTACATTAGATTGTGAGCTAACTTACTATTAGCTGTTGTGATTGTTAATGTTCATATTCATTCACCATAAGATCTTGTTCAATTTTTATTTCATGTTTTCATATGAGAAATCTTGCAATGAAAATAGAAAACCTGCTTACTTTTCATTTAGTTTTATGTTCATTTCCAACTATGAAAACAAAAGGTTGTAGTTTTTTGTTGTATCCAATAGTTTTTAACATCTGTTTTCTCATATTTTAATGAAATTACTCGCAATTATTTTTAAATTTTCATTTTTAAATGAATTCTTATGTTTTGAATTCTATAGTCAAATTTTTACAAATTAATTGAACTCAACTCGCAAATCATGTTTGGAATACATTTATAATTGAATTAAATGAAAACATTCCAAAACATACCCTTAATTTAATAACTGAATTGTCTAACACATGATGTGTATTAAAAAAAAATCATTGATAGTTGTTTCCTCGGGGAAACCAAATACCACCGCTGGTGCCGAATTGATTTCCGGAGATGTTGATTAGATGTTTCGCGGTAGAAATTCTTGCGGTGCCGTTTGATCGAATGCACTGCTGATTGCTGAAATCGAGACGACCGTCAAATATCCACCAAGCGGTGTTGATTTGATCGGTGCAACTGACTTCTGAAAACGATGACGATCGTCAAATATCCACCGCCGTGCGATGTTGATTTGATCGATGCACCTCTGAATGGTGAAATCAACGTGACCGTCAAATATCCACCGCCGAGCGATGTTGATCTGATCGATGCACCTCTGACTTCTAACCAACGCGACCGTTACTACGGTTCGCACCTCTCCAAACTACGTTCGAACGAGGGTGTTTGAGTTTTTTGAGGAATCTACGCTACCGCTACTCCTATGGAGATTCCCGTGGAGAGATCCGCGACTACGACTAAGACTACAACTATGGAGATCCTTCCTGGAAGGAGAGCTCCGCGAAGGAGCTACAGAGAAAAGGTAAAGTTTTGACAGAGTTGTTCTGTGTTGATTTTTGGTTGTCTTTTTTCCCTCTCTCTCCTTGCTCTGTTGCTTCTATTCGAAAGCAACTTCGTGGTCTTCACGCAACTCCGTGTCAACTGTTTCGTCGTCCGGAGAACTCCCACGTGTCTCAACCGCTTCGTTCTTCAAACTGCTTCGCGTGAACTTTACGTGAGTTGTTTTCATGATCCCGCTATGTCGTTTCCTTTCCCAAACAGCTCCATTTTTTCCCCTCGCGACACTGTTTTAATATTAAACGACTCCGCTTCCAGTCTCGCGGTGTCGTTGGCTCACTCGAGCTTGTTCTCCAAGAAAGAACCCTGTCGTGTACTACTACGACATCGTTTGTGTTGCAATCTCTCGCGACATTGTATTTACTAAACAATGTCGTTTATTAGTACAACAATACCACTGGGCCTACTCGCGGTACCGTTTCTAAATCCGCGGTGTCATTGGGTTTATTCGCGGTGCCGTTTTTGCCAAATGACACTGTTTCCCAGTCTCGCGATGCCGTTGAGTTTTGAGGTTCGCGGCACCGCTTTATCTTTTCGCAGCATTGCTTGACACCAAACGGTGTTGTTACTCTCCTCCTTCGACAAGGAAAAAAATAAAATAAAAAACATTCCTTGTCCAACAGCAACACATGTCCTGCGATTCACACATGGTCTACAACCAATGTCGTTTCAAGTACCGCGGTACCGCCGAGCCTCTTCGCGGTCTCGCTTAAATTCTCCGTTGTATTGCTCGACTCCAAGCGACATCGTTTTGGCCATACGATATCGAATTAAATGCCGAGACTAATTAATGCGGCATTTAATTCAGGCAAAAATATTTTAGGTGTAAACAATAGTGTACACCAACTACATGACGAGGAGTTTAACAAGTAACAACCATTACTCATCTTATTGAATTAACAAAATTCTTACATAATGGTTGATACTGTATAGTGATAGGTTAGCATAGGACAAAGATGAATTCAAAATTTACCATTCAAAATTAATTATTAAACCATAAGCTAGATTTGAATAAGAAAGTCACTAGAAATTTTATGCCTATATAATTTCTTCTCAAATAAAATAAATTTTCTTTTTTGTATTTAAATAATTTTAGTTTTTTGAACTTTATAATTTTAGATTATATCATTCATTTTTTTTTTCACTTTGATTTCAAACTATCTAACCATATTTCAAGTTTCAGAATTCAACAAACTTTTTAGCTAAGTAGGTTTTCATTTTAGGTTTTCCTGGTTTTGTGTCTTAAGAAACTGTAGTTTTGTTTTCTTCGCGATCTATTTTCTATTGTTACATACAAGCCACATGAATGGAAATGAAAGTAAACAGATTCAGAGGGGATTTGAGACTTTTACAAGACTAAATATATATCATTTCTAACTTGTGAGGAAAAAATGTATTTTAAATAAAATATACAAAGTACTGTTTAAGGCTTAGATTATACTAGATCGTATCGCCACGCTGTGGTACGACAATTGGTAAGTGCAGATTATTACTAATCCAACCGTCTATGAGATCTCCCAATTACCAAGTAACGTCTTCATTAGAATATTTTTGCTTTAGTTTTCACTATAGACAATTAGTAATAATTTGTCTCTTCACTTTGAGAATCTCTTTCATGAAGTTTCGCGATGAAATGTTAGCTAAAACAAATTGGAGTCCGAAAATAATGTTTTCTTAAGGGAGTTTATTTTTCCTAGAAAATCATTTTTATATATACGTGACTTTCTAAAGGACGATCCAGAATCGAAGATTGTCAATGAGTTGAGAGAAGATCTTTCACCTCATCGTAGACTATCCCAAATAGAAAAGGTGAGTCAAGAATAGCAAGAGCTTGGCTCCATATAGTAGCTGACTCGCGGTAGAATTCGATGGAGACTTTCATCTTTGATATCTCTTAGACCACTTCGAGAATGAGGAGCCAAAACTACCTTTGTAAAGGCAAAGACACACGTGTCTCCATGTGAGACACTGTTTTCTTCTTAAATGTAGTGGATCATTGATTAAAATTCAAAGACCTGTTATGAAATCGGGTGTTACTAGAGCTCGATTCCCTTGGGATTGAAGACTTTGAACTTCATGGTCAACTTCTAGGAGAACCATAGTAGGATTATACGACTTCTTTTGATTATGCTTATCTAGCAGACGTTAAGAGTTTTTTCAAGTTGGGGAAGTAATGGTGTTGGAGTTTCCTCAACGAAATTTGAGTAAATTGAGGACAATGGTCGAGTGGGTGGTTGAGGAGAATTCTTGAGGAGGCGAAATCGAACTAAAGTGTTTAAGCTTGCCGCAAGAATTCCTATTGCCATTACTCGGAGAACGAAAAATGTTACACGTGCTTGTGCGTGCCCGAATACGATGGTTGAAAACAATGAGGAACATGAAGAGGAGAAGAGATCGAAATTAAAAATTATAATGTTGTTAACTTTTTAATTGGCATGTCATAACTACTGTCAAAGTAGGATTGTTCACTACTTGACTGTTCGTGGTGGGATATGAAATTAGATGGAGTGTGACCAGTAGAGACACACATAAAAAGTTAGTAACCACTAATATAATAAAAAAATTAATAAAAATATGCAACAATTTGATAAATGGATTAAGCATTTATATAGCCATCAACCATAAATTAAACCCTTAAACCCTACACAGATGAAAAACTAAATTGGTTGCCAAGTTTCTCTGTTGTGGAGATATAACCCAGAAATTGAAAATCCTCTCATATGTTAGTAAAACCAAAAAAAAAAAAAAACAAAAACAAAAGAGTTACATGCTAATTAGAAAATTAAAGTACATTGTATTGTTCTCATTACATCACCCCACATTGAGAATGAGATAGAACTCGTAGATGAGAAAAAATGTGAGATTAGCTAAAGTCGTAGGGAACAGTAAAATTGATTAAACTTTATATACTAACTAGGTGGAGATGCCGCGATTTGTCGCGGGCTGAGATGGCATATATGCATGTATTATGTGGTCCGTTATGGTGTTTTGTTAATATTATTAGTCTACAATTATTTTTTCATTAGCAGTTTTGTTAGTAATATTGACTTGACAATGTAATATTGAATAATAAGAGATATATGGCGGTCAACATCCAATTTAATTTTTTTTTTTAAATTTTGGCTAGTAAATGATATTTACCTAAACCCAAGTAGACTCATTGAATATGGGTAGGGTATGTATGACGTATATATAAGTTTGGAAGTTTGTATGCCTTTTGCTTCTCTCTAGAGTTTTTCTTTTTCACCCGGGCTAGAATTTTCAACAAATATACATGGAATGTTTAGCTAGATATCTAC